AGAGGGGGTGGGGGCGGGGAGGGGGGGATTAAAAGTCCAAAACAGAAAAAACAGCTACTTTCATGGTTTTTTCTCTATCAAATCGACTAAAGAAAAAAAAAGAATGGCGGAAATTTTTTTGATTTTGAACTAGCTGCAAGGGCTAATGAAGAAGTACGGCCTAACACTAGAACATAAAAGAGTAAAAGCACGGTTCAGTCGCATGTTAGTTCCAGAGGTCGAGGAGGAGGATGAGGCCGACTTCGAGGAAACCGAGAAAGAAGAAGAATATGTGGGGGCCACCGAGGATGATATTAATGATGATGATGCACATGGAGGCTCTTTAGATAACTTGTCTAATAAAGATTTGAGATTTAGACTTGAGACATGAGAAATGATGATAATTTGTCTTCACTTTTGAACTCTTCAATTTTCATAGACCTTTTACTCTGTAACTTTAAATTTTGCGGTTGCGAATTTGAAATATGGTTTTTCAATGTTTATGAACTATGATAATATGATGTCTCTTCTAAGTTCTATTGTTTTCTATAAAGTTAGTTTCAAGTTTCTAATGTCTTTTATGATCTATCAGGGGATAGTGGGCATAGTGAAATGCCTACTATCACATACACCACATCCATATTTTTTTTCATCCATTAACCTATTTTTTGGGATTGTTTAGAATTATTTTATGTTAATTGACGGCATCGGGGTGATGCACCCGCATCGAGCCGCATTGCCACCCCCCCCCCCCGACCACATCGGGACTGCATCCCGCATTTTAAAACACTGCTTTGGAGTTTCTCATGGGTGTTTGTTATGGGGTAGGGGAGTTTGTATATGGAGCACCAGTGGCTGGTAGGTATTTATGAAGGTTAGTCTTCCTGGGTATGAAAGGGTTTCAGTTTCCAACCTTTCAGTCTACACATGAATTTGTGACCAATGTCAAGTATGGCAAATGATGAGAACACATTTTCTTAATGAGTCAAACTTAAAACATGAACAAACTCAGTCCAGCCATAAGCTTGTGATTACCTTTGACTAGATATGGCCGATGCATAAACACCAAAAGGGAGTACCTTTTCTACATTTGGATCCTTAAGCAACTTTAATGACATTTGCTAGATTCGAGCTCTTCCCCTAAACCCTTAGTAATGTCAATTTATGAATAGCAACAGAAGGCAATCCAAATGATCAACTTGGCAACTTCCTTAGTCAAGTTTTTCTTGATTAGTCACTCCATGAAAAATTGAAATGTGGGTTATAGAAACTGGATATGCTTTTCATCAAAAAGGAAAATACAACTAATAGGCTCTTCAGAATATCATTAAGAGTCAACTTTAATGTCAGAATATATATAAGTTAAATTTGCAGTATACAAGTTTAGAATGACAGTCCAAAATATTCCTAGAACTCAGTGGGTGATGGTTTACGCAGTTCTTCCAAATTTACCGATCTTGGTTCCTTCAAGCTTGACATTTGGCATTGACATGCAAAACATATAAGAAAAAGAATGAAAATGAAATCTCCATGAAGAGCAGGAGAAACTCAATGCCTTTGGGGAGTGACAAGAAGAGAACTCTGTAGGAGAAGGGCACATAATCCACAAAAATTTGGGGCAGTTAAAAATATCAACAAGAATTGACTTATCGGGAAATAGGCAATTGTACCTCGGCCAAGGTCATCAGGATCAGCGTGCACCACAACTGCCCTCCCAACTATAGAATTCGGTCCACTAAGTGGAATCTACAGTTTCATAAGCACAATTTGTTAAAATTTCCCTTCTCAATTCAAAATACACCAGAATTTATCTCGATAGATATATATTTTTGGTTGAAACACAAGAGTTCATCTCAACTGAAGAAAAAAAAAAGATAAAGAAATGTTAAACCCAAATGATTATCCAAAATAACATCACCTGGGAGTTCTTCAAAGACACTTCAGCCACCCCTGAAACAAATCAATACAACAGTACAGAGGAATTTCACAGGAAGAAAACCCAAACAATTCTCCACGAAAAATACTCCAGAAAAAAAGAAAAAAAGAAAAGAAAAAAGGAAAAGCACGTAATCACCATCATGCCCTGCATATATGTTTCCCAGGTCACCCGCATGCCTCTCCTCATCAGTCGGCGCCCCATGATCCTTCTTCCATGGATTATAATGCGGACCTATAATAACCCAACACCAAGGAATACAAAAAGAAACACAAATAAACAGAAGCAGTTATTAGAGGGGTAGATGAAAATAACTGTACCAGTTGACATGCAACCATTGGTTGTGTCACCAAAGGCATGGACATGGAATCCATGGAGGCCTGGAGAGAGGCCTGCTATTTTTCCTTTCACATGGGTGGCTCCTGTAAAACCCAGAAAGAAAACACAAAAAAGAGGAAGAAATTCAAGCTTGAATACAAAAGCGATGAGAAAATGGATAGAAACAAAAAATGAGGAGAAGTGACCGTTTGGGTACTGGATGAAAAGAAGAGAGCCTTTGACGTTTGGGTCTCCAGAGATGATTGCCACAGCCTTCAGAGTGGGGGATGCCATTTGTGAATTACAGAGAGACTCTCTCTCTCTAGAAACCAGTACAAGAGAATTTCAAGGGGGCGAAAGCACTTGGTTTTTATTTTTTATTTATTATAACAAATTACAAAACCTTCCTACAAAGGGGCTGTTTTAGACATCCTACCCGAACAAAGTTTTTGCTAACAATTCTTAACCAAAATTGAACTTTTCTAGCGAATAACTTCCAAGTCAAAAAAAAATCATATATTTTTTTTTTACGAAAATACCCAAAGTGTCGTATCGCACTCAATTTATGTCAGTTTTTGTGCTAGCCCGCATATGCCCCCAATTTGTGCTAGACCGCATATGCCCAAAGTGGTCAGACCATCCTTATTTTATGTCCTTATTTTATGTCAATCTTCGTGCTTTTCAAAAGCCTAAAATATCGGATCGCCCTCATTTTGTGTCAGACCACCCCTATTATGTATCGGACCGCCCCTATTGTGTGTCGGGCCGCATGCTTTTTAAAAACAAAGTGTCGAATTGGTCTCATTTTACGTTGCATCACTTGTTCAAAGTGCTGAACCGCTTCTATTTTGTGCAAGACTGCATGCTTTTCGAAAGCAAAATTGTTCCGATTTTGTACCGTAGGGCATATTGTTATAGGGTATTTTGGCCTTTATTTTACTTTTGTTTATGACTTAAGGGTATTTACAGCTTAATTTAGAGTAAAAAATGAGAAAAAATGTTTAGTTGGAGGTAAAATGCCTAAGCCTCTTTTTAAGGGTTATTTGTAATTTTCCCTTATTCATATTTTTTCAAAGTACTACAGAATTATCTAACCATCGACGTCTCTTTTGGCGCTGTGTTAGCATGTGCGGCCGTAATCCACAATTTAATCCCCTGACCTCATATATTGGATTATTGAGGGTAAGGCTTTGCATAAGGTTGCAGCATAGTAAACAATCAAAATAAGGCGCCTTTCAAACAACCACAAGTAAGGCGCCTTTCAAACTGTCATAATATATAAGGTTGATGTGAAAATTTTTAGTATGGTCAAGATTTTATTTTCATATCTAAATATAAAATTTGAACTCTAAAGACAATTCAAATCAAGCAAATTTATAAATGTATGAAAATCTTAAAATTAGGCGGTCCAGATAATGTGTTACAAAATATATAGTTTTTAGGACTTTAAATTTTTCTATTTTTTTCACATCTATACATCTCAATGTCAAGATGATCACTTAGATGCAGTGTTTAAAAAAACGTCGAGTCGAACAGGACTCGCCCGGTTCGACTCGGAAATCGTCATGAGGGGATCGAATCGGTTAAAAAAACGGGAATCGTCCGGTTCTAGAGAGAACTGGACGATTCTGCACAGTGACTCGCCAATTCACTGTACGAAATCGGCGAGTCCGTCAAGAACACGGGTTGCACAGTGTTCTTCACGGGATTCTTCGAAATTTGTCATTTTTTGATCATTTTTCTTGTTTTTTTTGGCATGTGATCTAATTTGCATGCTGTAAACAACTTTATTCAGCTTTTACAAAGATTAAATGGTTGAAAATTTTGGTCTTTTTGGATCACGAAACTTGCATTTTTAGGGTTTCCGCCTTTCCTTATGTTTCATGCCAAATAGGGCATGAATCTTTCAAAATTTGTAAGCATTTTGATCGTAAAGCTGTGCATCAAAGCCTTTTGTTACTAATTTGTGATAATCGTTGAGAAAAACAGAGTTTTTTGAAGATTGAAAGCTTCAGTTCACAAAATCAGGTAAGAAGTTTGGGTTTTTTTTTTTTCCGCCATATGATTTATTTCACGACATATTTTGAAGATAATGAGTTCAATAATTAGGGTTTTTAATCTTTATTGTATCTATTATGATTTAAAATTTTCAATTTTATGTAATTTAGTCAATTACAGCATGAAATTTGAGATGAACACAGAGATGTCTGCGGAACCAAAATTCCGCTGTTTTTTTTTTTTTTTCCGCCTTTTGATTTTTTTTTCATGATATATTAGAAATAATGTGTTAAAAATTTAGGGTTTGATTCCTTATATTGTTGTTTATTAGAAAATGTACTCAATTGGATGTAATTTATTCACTTAGAGGTGGATTTTTTAGTTAAAAAGGCTTATGTAAAATGGCTCTGTGAAGAACAGAATTTTTTTTTTTTGTAATCCATGATCGAATGTTTTGTAATACTTGATCGATTTTTTTGTAATCCATGATCTAATTGTTTTTTTTTTTTTTTGTAATCCATGATCGAATTTTTTGTTCTTTTTTTTTTTTGTTAACCCATGATAGAATTTTTTGTAATCCATGATCGAATTTTTTGTAATCCATGATCGAAATGTTTGTTTTTTGTTTGTGTAATCCATGATCTAAATTTTTG